GATATAAGGGGGTGTATTGAGGGAAGGGGTTTCCTTAAGCCTTGCGGATTACCCTCAACTGGCCTGTCACATCTTTTACCCAGATGGCTGCAAGACTTAAATGACTGTTCTGCAAGACTTCCAGAGTTTTCTTTCTCTAGCAAAAATAGGCCTGCTCCCTCCCTGCTTAAAACCCTTCGGTGGCTGCACCTGCCTCCCAATGGGCCCAGTCGCTCATCATCGTGGTCCAGCCTCACCTGGGCCTTCCTGACTTCCTATCGCCCAGTCATCACCCCCTGCCCCCAACATACACTCCCTCTTTCTTGCCATGTGAAAGATAGTTCCAGCGTTGGGCATCAGGCCCCCCACCATTGCCCAGGGTGTCACTCCTGAGCCACCCTGGCCTTTTACCACCTCTTTCTATCTGGAACTCACCTTAATTTTCAAGGTCTACCTTCAGCATCACCTCCTCCGTGGAAGCCTCCTGAACACCTCCTCTCCGCTCCCCGAGGTAGTGCCTCCATCAGAGCCCTTATCAGCTTGTAGTATGGATTTTGCAGCAACTTCTTTCATATTAATCTCCCCACCAGATCAGGAACCCCATTAGGGGAGGAAGAGATCAGGTCTGGTTTTATTTGAGGCTCCAGTGTCTGGCACACCGTGGTGCTGGTGTTTGCGGCTGAATGAATGAATGAATGCACGCACATGAGTTGGATTGAGCCGGTTGCTTCTTACATCTCATCCCACTTAATCCTCACATGGCTGAGCAAGTACAAGGTTATAGGAAGGCCAGCTTCTCTCTGCCCTCCCTGCCTCCCTGCCCCCCATGATCCCCTGGGGCTTCTCTTTACCTGGACACCCATTCCCCAGGGCTGGCGCTGAATGTCTTAGGATATTGAGACCACACCATGGAGGATCCTGGTACACGAATAAATTGCATTTCATGTGCCTATCATAAGATCTAAATAAACACTATCAATTAGCAATCACGCAAGTATTCTCAGCTTTTCACCTTCCTGGTCTATCTCCCTGGGTACCCGGGAATGTTGGATGCCGGCCGTGATCCGCTCCATTCAATGTAACAAGCATTTGTCCAGCTCGCAGAGGAGTGGCTGCCCTGCCAGCTGGGGGTTGGACGCTCTGACTCTGAGATTTCGGTGGAAGATGAGGATCTGCCGCATGTCGAGAAGCTGACAAGACAAGGAGAGGCATTTCCAGTAGAAGAGATGGGGTGATGAAAAACAGTGGGGAGCATAAGGGTCAGGGTACCTCTGGGGTCCAGACAGAGGGAGCATTGTAGAGAGTTGAGGGTAATAAGATTGGAAACGGAACTCAATAAATGCTAGTTTCCTCTCCATTTCCCTTCATTTAAAACATTTTGAGAACCAGTTCTGGCCACCGGGTCTGCAGCCAGTGATGCCCGGAAACAGGGGTCATGTGCCCGCCCGGACCAGAGCTCTGGCTCCACCAGGCCCTGACTCTGGGGCCTGTCCTCCAAGTTCACTTCTCAGATCGTCCAATTCCTTAACGATTACCTTAAAATCAGCAGCAACCTCAGTTTTCAGAGCTCACCTTTTCTGCCAGACACCAGCCCAGCCCTTAATCTCATTTAATCCTTCACCTCAACCCTTCCAGGTGAGGACTTCTATTGTCCTCACATTGCAGATAAGTTCCTGGAGAGGAAGTAGCTATCCAAGGTCAAATGACTAGTAAATAACCTGACTCTCAAGGCCTCTGGAGCAAGGCTGGTGTGTATTCATTCAGATGACCTAGGAGAAGCCTGAACGCGGTGCGTAGTCGATAAGGCTCGTCTTCCTCAGCGGGACGCCCAGGGAGGGGCCCAGGTGTGTGCGCAGCCAGGATGGCTGCAGTTTCCCACCTGGGATGACCATGAGGCTGGTGAGGGGCAGAGGGCCAGGGCTGTTCCAAGAAAGAAGATTCAAGTGCTCCCATCTCTAACAAACACTGAGCCACTTTGTTTTGTGAATACGTGACATCACCTGCCACAGTTGGCACGCAGGGGACTGGGCTGGATAAGGTGTCTCTGATCGGGTTTCTCACCAGAACACAGCACCCTGGATTTTGTCGCGGGTCTTGGTCAGCCTGGGCCGCTCACCGGCTAGCGCCTGGCGCCCTCTGGTGGCGCAGGGAAGCCTTTCCTCTGCAGCTGGACAGTGGGGCCTGGACAGAGCTGGGCTTCCAGGACTAGCTTTCTTTATGGGCTAGCTGTATAAAGGACATTTTTAGGAGCAACGTGCTGTCCTTGAGAGCTCATCTATGAGACGAATGGGAGGGAAATCAGACGACTAGGAATCCAAAGGCTGGGATCACACCTTCCCCACCTGCCTTCCAGGATCCTATTGGACATGATGAGTGACAGCATCTTGTCAGCTCAAAAGCGCTCCTAAAGAGCAAAGTATCGTGTTCATGAGAAAATTCACAACAGAATAAGGTCCAGGAGGCTAAGGGCTGATAAGGGGCCGGGAGTAGGGGCAAGAGCCAAGGTAGAGGGGTGAGAAGGGGAAGGCATCCCGAGGAGAAGGATGGGGTGAGCAAGATCATGGGAGGCAGGGGCTTCAGCAGATCCAGACACATCTGTTTAGGGCAAAGGGAGCCTGACGCCGGCATTGCTGTTGGAAAAGAAAGTCCATACATGCTCACGTCTTGTTCCTTCCTCTTAATTCAAAAGGCAGGGAGAAATGACAGTTGTATTTGCTTCTATAAAACGGGAAAAAATGAGCCCTGGCCGGTTTGACTCAGCGCTTAGAGCATTGGCCCATGGACCAGAGAGACCTGGGTTCGGTTCCCGCTAAGGGCATGTACCGCGGTTTGTCCCCCACCCCTGTGTGGGGGGCAACCAGTTGATGTGTCTCTCTCACATCGATGTTTCTCTCTCTCTTCCTCCCTCTCTCCCTCCCGCTCTATCTGAAGATAAATGTCCTCAGTGAGAATAAATAAATAAATAAATACAAATGTCTACTTCTCTGAGCGGGTTTCCCAGCGACTTGGCACTCTCAAATCAAGGTCCCCAGTGCACTGAAGGTTGTGAGGAGGCCTGTCCTGCCCCCACTCCAAGTTCTGGGTCTCCTTCCCAGGCACCTGCCGGGGACCCCTGCCTACATCCCCCAGATCTTTTTTTTTATCCTCACCCGAGGACATTTTTTTCCACTTTTTGTTCAGATAGAGTGGGAGGAAGAGAGAGAGAAGAGAGAAACATTGACGTGAAAGGGACACATCATGTGGCTGCCACCCACACAACCAACCAGGGCCGGGGACAAACTGCAACCGAGGTACGAGCCTGGGACTCTCTGGCCTGCGGGCCGATGCTCTAACCGCTGAGCCAAACCAGTCAGGGCCGTCCCCCAGCTCTTCATTAGGAGGGCCCCTCAGGGCAGTGAGGGTGGCAATGCCCACCTGAGGCAGGACAGTCAGTGCTTTAGAAAACAGGTCTTGGTTTTAGGCACCCAGAACTTTCTTCTCACTGGCTGTATTCCTAACTTGCCCAAGCCTTTGGTGTTTCCATCAGTAAAATGGGGAAATATAAAAGAACATTATAATGACTCAATTAAAGATGAAATGAGATTATGTATCTTGCACACGAAATAACGTGCCTGGAACTTGGAAAGGAAACAGGTGCTTGTTTATTAAGGAGGTTTCGATGGTTTAAGTTATGTCTGAGAAGCTGCTTGACAGGGAACATGGGTGGGGCTTCCCATCCAGCAGTGCGTGGGGTTGCAGAAAGGGGAGGGACTGTGTCAGGGCCACACTGGCACCTGCTGAGGTGCCGCCAGGCTCTGGGCACAGGGGAGTGCAGGCAGGCTCTCCAGCATCCCTCTGAGCGTTGCTGAGTAACCGTCACCTAGGGACACAGATGAAGCATGGTGTTTGTGCTCCTACACGGCCAGTGGGGAGTAGTGGAGACATTTTTTAATCTTTTAACTATGGAGATCATGCTTGCTTATGTCATCAGCTATCTCAAGTAAAATTAAGAAAAAAAATCAAGCCCTGGCCGGTTGGGCTCAGCAGTTAGAGCGTTGGCCCGTGGACCAGAGAGACCTGGGTTCAGTTCCTGCTAAGGGCACGTACCTTGGTCGATGTCTCTCTCACAGTGATGTCTCTCTCTCTTCCTCTCTCCCTCCCACAAAATATGTCCTCAAGTGAGGATAAAAAAATTTTAAAAAAAGACTTCCATAAAAAAAAAATCAAGTGAGAAGTCAACCACACTCCCAATTCTCCAAAGTAACTAACGTTCACAGTGGGGACAAAGGTATGGGGCCTGGGAGAAGCGAGTTACAAAATGGGGCCTGAGGCCTGCTCTAGGCCCAGCTGCCCCAAGGGTCCTAGGGGGAGGGGAGTGAGGAGGGGGAGGGGGGCTGTTAGCTCCTTCCTTACTCTTACCCCTCTCTTCCAGCTGCCTCTTCCTCTGCCTTCCCATGGTCAGATACTCAGTAACTTCAAGGTTGCCTAGTTGAAAGTGGTGGAAACTAGGATTTGAACTCAGAGCTGATGATCATGCCAATGGCACAGGCAGCGAACCCCCAGGGACAAGTGCCAGGCACACAGGCCTTCTAGGGAAAAGCCAGGCCCAGTCTGGCTGTGCAGATGGCACACTACGCCTCAGCCAGGGGCAAGAACATGGACAGCCTCACCGACTGGCAGCTCAACTGGGGTAAGTTGCTTATTGCCTCTAGGCCTTGGCATCTTCTGTAAAGGAAGGAAAAGATCATCCCTGAGAGGGCGGTTGGAGGAGCCAATGCTCAGCAGGCCACTTGGCTCTTCTCTGCCAGGCGCTTCGGCTCATTCTAGAACACATCTCCTGACCCTGACCCTGACCCTGACCGTGGGGCCAGGCTGGAGCAGCTCTCAGGGCCTGGCCCCTGATTTCCTCTCATCCCTACATGGTGTCCTTAGCACTCCCAGACCTGGCCAGGGCCTCGAGTTCTCTAGAATGATGACGAACGATTAAGTATAAGAAAAGCAGAAAAGCAGGGTAATAAATAATAAAACTTTATTAAGGCAGCTAAACTTAGGGGAACTGAGTAACACGTTCTCAGTGGTACATCTATGAAGCAACAGTGAAATACAGCGTAGTCTCACTTCGTGTGTTTCTGACTGTGACAATTCTAAGTTGTTCACTCTCAAAGAGAAATACCCTTGTCACCTTGACATGGCATCACACTAACCCTGCTTTGGGCTCCCATTGGAGAACCATAGTTGAAGGTCCTCCCCAGACCTTCCTACCTGAGCTGGGCCTCTAACAGCGGGAGATGTGCAGGGTTCCATCTGGCTTCTAGCATCAACTGCTCCTACGGAGCGTCTTCCAGCATGGGACAGGAGGGGCAACCAGGGCCGCCTGGTCTGAACAAACATAAGGAGGTTTTATAACAAGGATCTGAAAACTACCCAAGCCTGCCCTCGCCCTGCATGGCCCCTCGGCCGAGGGCTCTGGTCAGAGAGGGCCAGGGGCTGCCTTAGTCCTTCTTGCTGCCTGGGGCCGGCCTCCTTGTAAGGACCTTCCCTGGGCTGCAGGGGGTCAGCGTGGACACTGTGGGGGATTCCAGCTTCACTCTGTCCAAGAGGGTCTTCTTGAGGGCAGCTGGGGAGATCTTTTCTTGGTCAGCCATGAGCTGCAGCTCTCTGGAGACAAAGTGCGGAAGGAAAGTTGGAGGCGGAAGGCAGTAACCCTTGGGGCCAGGACTCCTCCAGCCTTCCCATGCATACAACCAACCCGTTGACTGGACACCACACAGAATTAGAAGCCCAAACCAAACACTCCTCCCACCTCCGAGACGTGCTCGTTAACTGAGTATTACTACACAGACATAGAGCACTGAGTGGTATCTGTGGTTACATGGGAAGAGAGAAAGTGTGGAAAGTCACAGGGTTGGAAGTCATGAACTTGAAGTTGAATGCTGCCTCAATCACTTATTGGCTGTCTGACCTTGGGGAACTGAATCAACTTCCTCAACTATCAATCAAAGCGAATCCCAACTACCAGACTGTGGTGAAAATGAAATGAAGTAAGGCCTGCAAACTCTTAGCTAATAAGTCGTGCTTATTAACAGAGTACAGATTCCAACACTGCTAATGGGACCAAAGACAGTGCTCAACCAGACCAGGGGCTGGCTGGGAATGGGGAGCCTGGGTGGAGGAGAGACCCACCGTGTCCGGATGCAGGAGGCCTCGACTGCATTGATGAGCAGGGAGCGGAAGCCCCCACTCTCTAGGAAGTGCAGGGCATGGATGGTGGCACCCCCAGGGGAGCAGACGTTGTCCTTGAGCTGGCCTGGATGCTGCTCTGAGTCCAACAGCATCTTGGCAGCCCCCTAGAGCACAAGGGGAATGTGAGAGGAACAAACTGCAGGTGCACCTTGGGACAGGCTTCCCCGATCCTCACCACAGCTTTCCACCCGCACCCTGCCCCCAACTCACTGACCCACAAGACCCCTTCATCCCACACCCTGGTTCAGAACATGCAGGAAGACACTGACCAGCAAGGCCTGGGCCCCCAACCGGACTGCCAGGCGCCGCGGCAGGCCCATCTTCACCCCACCATCAGCCAACGCGTCCAGGGCCATGAACGCCTGTGGAGACACTCGCTGAGTCTTGGGGCGGCAGGCACTCAAGGGCACCTTTGAGGGTTTGCCTTTCCTGACCACTGGCGCTAGTGTCAAGGATCCGTTTCCTTCACCAGCCAGCTGCACCCAAGAGGTGGGTGGCACTCCCAGCCTAAGCCTGCCTGCCATCCCATCTTACTCCCCGGGGTCCCCAGAAGGCTGAGTAAGTATATGAGGGCCTCACATAGGCAGGCCCACTGCCACTGAGCCCTGTGACAGCATCAATCAGGTCCTCCTCCACCTCGGTGCAGAAGCCCACGCTGCTCATGAGCTGCTCCAGGAGCTGCCCATCCTCCACCAGGGCATGGGTGCCTGTGGCATACACGGTGGCACCTTCCCGCACCACCACAGGTGTGTTGGTCATGCAGCGAATCACCTTGGGGGCTGGCTGGAACGCCATCAGCTTCTGGAGCAAGGAAGAGGGCGAGTGAGTTGCCAGGGCACAGGCCCCACTAGCACCCACCCCTCCCCTCACCCAGGGGCAGCAGAGCTGAGACAGGCACCTTCTCCACAGAGCTGATGGTGACACCAGCCGCACAGGAGACTACGATGTGCCTGGCCTGGACGTCAGCCCCGACCTCGTCCAGGATGAAGGGAATGATGTGCGGCTTCACGGCCAGGAACAGGACGTCGCTGTGCCTCACCGTCTCCTTGTTGCTCCGGGTCAGGTTCACCCCCATCTTCTGCGGGAGGAAACTGCGGCTCAGTGCGGGGCAGCCTCGCCAGGTATAGACTTCCCCAAGGAGCAGCTGAACCCCTGCCAAGCCTATTCTGCCAGCTGCAGCCTGGAATTCCCTGCCTTGTCCCCTCAGGGTCTGCCCCGAACCCCACTAGCAAAAAGTTTTCCAATGTTGCTACCGGGCAAGTGAGCACAGGTGCAGAGTGTGGACCAGCTTCTCACAGCAACCAGGAGATGGCTGTCCCACATCCCCACCAACCCTCTGGCACCCAGGCACCCCTCTGCCAGGTAAGGAGTCTCCGTGGCTGGAAAGCAACAAAGGGAAAGGTGAAATGCTAGCACCCAACAGTCAGAAGCAGAGCTGGGTCAGGACCTATCCCAACCGTGGACACTGCTTCTTCAAACTATATGGTCCCTATGTGGTCCAGGGGCGGTTTGGAGGACAGCCATCCCTGCAGGACTCCAAACTGAGAAGCAGGAGGGCTCTCCAGTGCTGGGAACATCAGCCATCCTAAGCGCAGACACTGCCTATCATCTGCCTCATTAGACATCTCCTCCCGCAATGCCCAGATTTGGGGTGAAAACTTGGAATATTTTTCTTTTAGAGAAAGGAACAACCACATTGCCAGGCTCCTTCCCCACACGCTCATTCGTGCCTCAGAATAACACAGCCTGCGGCTACTATGCCCTCCATTTGCTAAGTGAGGAAACTGAGGCTCAGAGTATCATAAGGACACACAGTCCACGAAGACAAATGAGTATTTACTGGGTACCTACTATGTGCCAGGTGCTTTCCATACATAAAGACCTCAATTAATCTGACCACCCCAGTGCCTGGATTTGAGCCCCAGTCTGTTTGCCTGGGTGCTCTCACCACACTGAGCTGCCCCAGGGAAGGTGGGGGATCCTGATGCTGCAGTTTGGGGAGGGTGTCAGCTGGCTGATGACCAGCTCAGGAGCTCAAGAGAATCGGGCCACCCTCCTGGGCCTCGGCCCTCTTCCCCACACCCCTCTGGCCCCACCTACCCTGAGCGCGGACACCGTGGGCAGGTCCATTTCCGGGGAGCTGGCTATTATCTTGTGAGCCGACAGGACGCCTACAGCAGACAGGGCTTTTCAGCTAGGGACCGTGGGCCACCCCGTTCCCGCGCTTTCCCTGGGAAAGCAGCAGCAAAACCCACCCGGCTCTAACAGTGCCGGTCTCCCTCCGCCGCTCGGTCCCTTACACCGACCTGAGACCGGGGCCTGCGCGTCCGTCGCCCGCCTCCTCGCGCTCACCTGCGGCCGTGAAGCCCCGCGCCAGGGCACAGGCCAGCTGGCCCGCGCCAATGAAGCCCACGCTCATGGTCCGGGGCTCGGCGTGTACCGGCAGCCGCGGGAACCCGCTCTACGTGGGCCGGAGGCACCGTGGGGGAAGACCGAGCGTGGGAAGACCCAAGGCCCGCGTGCGCAGAAGCTGGATCCTGGGTGTTCCCTGCAGCTTCCGGGCCGGATCCCGCTTCCCCGCCGCACTCACTCCCAGACCGCGCGTCAGGCCCCATGGCCCCGCCCCGCCCAGGCAGCCAATCCGAGGCCGGGAGCTCGGAGCGGGCCAATCCGAGGCCAGGTCGGGGCTGTGCGCCCGCCTCCTATGTACAGGATAAATTAAATACAGAAATTATACTAGAAATTAAAAACAGAGACACAGAGTGAAAGCATTTTTATTCCGCCAGGTTATCTACATTCAGTTGTTGTTTTTTCCTTCTAAATAATAATAATAAAAACGTAAATACATGTGGTATTAATTGGTGATAAGTTCTCTAAAACAGTGGGGGAAGTAACTAAATATGCACAGGCGGTGCTGGGTCTCTGAAGAACTGAGGAGACGGGGAGGTTGGGGCTGCCTGATCCCCAGGGCAATGACGTCTTAGAGCTGAGTTCAGCTCCTCCTTTTAATGGACACGGTAGCTCAAAGGCTTCTACGTTTGCTTGAGGTCACAGCTAGTGGCCTTGTTTGATCCAGAAACCAGGTGTCCTGATTCCCTGTCCACTGCCCCTGGCCTGAAGCCCTCCATCCTCCCTCCTAGCACCCTCTCAGGGGAACCCAGGTATGTTTACAAAAGTCCAAAATGAGTCAACAGAAGATGGGGGTTCATTTTCAGACATCCTCCCCATCTAGGGGACACATAGGGATCTGGGATTTTGTCATCATGTAATAGAGTAAATGAGTTCTATTTCTGCACTTATCATGGGGTGTGTTGTCCCATACTCGGTTGAGAATTTGTCAGAGAACAGAAGCTCCCAGGCGATCGTCGGTCCATACTAAGCTACACCAGCTAACAAGTAGGCCAGGATTTCCTACTCAGCAACCCCAAGTGGCATTAGTAACTCATGTAAGTGCTTAGGGTGATGGACAGAAGGACAAGAAAGGGAAGGACACTTGGAAAGGTAAAATAGGGGCCCTAATTGGGGTAGGGTACCTTGCCAAGTAGAAAACTAAAACCTACATTAAAACCTGCTTTGGTGCACGCGTTTAGTCAGAGGCCTCAGTGGCTATGCCCAGTGCCTACGGCTCCAGCTTCCTTGGCACCAGCGCCCCGTCCGAGGCACAGCTGCACTTCTGCACCCTCATGTTGGGCAGGCTGACCACCTGGGGCCGGGGCCTGCCTCCCTCCTTGATGCTGACGATCATGGGCAGTGAGGTCGTCTCTGAGGCGATGCACTGCCTCGGCCCCAGGAACGGCCACTTGAAGGTCAGGGCCTCCGGGGGCTGCTGGCAGGTGCCCACACACTCGTAGGCCAGGAAGCCGGGGGGCTCCAGGACCCAGTTCTCAGCCCACTTCATACCCTGCAGGTCAATGTACATCTCTTGGCGGCAGCAGCGGGTGCCCTGGGTCACTGGTGCCTCAGCATCGCAATTGCCCTGAGCTCTGTGGGGGCAAGGAGAGGAGGGGTCAGAGGTCAGTTGGGAGGGCTGAGATCAGGGGACCCAGGGAGATGTGTGATCCATCTCTCATGATGTTATAAAAGCTGGGTATTTGTAATAAATAGTGAATGAATAAACATCCAAAACATAAATCAGCTACTCTTTATTAAAGGTCTCCTAATATTCCAGGCACTGAACTAGGTACCTCACATATGTATCTCAGATGGTACCTACATTTATCCTGACATAAACCTTCATGAGGGTCCAGCATTATTCCTACACACGTGAGGACACTGAGACCCAAAGGTGTGAAGCAACATGCCAGAGGCCCTGTGACCAGTAGAAGTCAGAGCTACATGGAACCAGTCTGTACGACTCCAAAGGCCTGTTACTTGTCCCATGAAGAAAGAATCCACTGATGTCAGAAGACAGCTGTTCAACTTAATGACAGCTCACGCTAATATTTTTCAAAGAGTTAATTATGGAAACGGGTAAAATGAAATTAGGGGTAAAATTGTCATTGATTTCTGAGTATCAATGACAACATAAAAACTCACTGAAAGTAGCTGAAGATATTTTTCAATATTTGAATAATAAAATTTTCTACCATTAGAAATTGACGTGTGGTGGGGAGTGAATGGGTCACATCCTGGGCTGTCTGCACTCATCCACTCAGCGAATCCACTCCTGCCCGCTAGGACGTACCCAAAGTCCTTGAGGTCCAGGGTGTGCAGCTCCAGCTGCGGTTCACCCTGCCGGGTGTCCGTCGGCTCCTGGGAGGCGAAGCGGACCAGCTTGTGGGCGCTGGAGGCCAGCGGGCCCAGATGCTCCCTCTGCACCGACACCTGCAGCAGCAGTGGCTCCTGGGGCCGGCTCAGCTGCTGCCAGAAGTTCACGGCCTCGGTCACGTCGAAGGCCTTCCAGCCGCTCTCGCGGATGGACACCAGCCTGCACCAGGCGGCAGACAGAGGCGCTGAGGATGGGTACTGGAGGAATCTCTCCAACCCCCTCCCATCCCTCTCCGGGAGATAGGCCCGCCCCCTTCACCCCACTGCAGCGCCCCCTTCTCCTCCACCCTCCCCCTACACACATCCTAGGTTTCCCCACCTGGAGTCGATGAGCGCGGTGCGGTTGGAGCCGTCCTTGCGGACCTGCAGCCACTCCACGGTGACCCGGGCCCAGTCGCTGCGCGGGGAAAGCCGTTCATGCCTGCGGAGCGCCGCCTGGGGGACCGGCTCCTGGAAGAGGCGCAGCACGGCCTGCACCAGCTCGCTGTTGGGGGGCAGCCGCTGCTCCATGATGAACACCAGCAGGCGCCTGGAGGCCTCGGACACCAGGAACCTGCCGGCCACCTCTGGGGACAACAGCAGAGTCAGCTTGGCCTCTCCAACCACCAGGGACCTTTGAGGGTGGCAGGGCCACTGAGGTGGTGGCCTGATGGGGAGAGAACAGCCCCTGTTCTGTTTCCCTGGGCCAAGTCTGGTTCCCTAGGGTCTGTGGCCTTTTACAACAAGCTCCACCAGCAGAAAGCCGCAGCCCTGGGGCCGAGCTAACAGGGTCAGCTGAGACGTTGAGGATCAGAATCCTCACCTCGGGGCACTGGGGTCTGTCTCTGGGCACTGAGTAGGGGAGTCCCAGGCCCACAGAGGTGAGGAGCTGAGTAGGATTCAGGCCCCCTGATCCCTGACAGCTAACTCAGTGTTATACTTTAGTATTTGCAGGTTACCCCAATAGTTTCCACCCACAAAACTGCACTTGAATGTTCACAATCTGGCCGGTAGGGCAGACATAGTCATACCATTGTTCGCAGAAAAGCAAACGGATTCAGAGGTGATTTTAAAGCCATTTGCTCAAGATCAGGCCACTTGTGGCAGTGTGAAAATAGACCCCACGAAGCCCCAGTTCTACCGAGGCCTCTGAGGCTGAGCCTGGGTTCTTCCATCCCCATCCCCATCCACAGCCCCACCCCCACCCGCACCTGCTTCCTCTTCTCTGAGGCCTTGACCTTGGCAGTGGGTCCAGCCTAGCAAGCTAGATGGGACCTCAGGGCGGAGACCAGCCCTCCTTACAGTCCAGGGTCCCCCCTCACTGCCTTGTAACCCTGGGCGCATTTATCACAACCTCCACCCAGCAGTCAGGGGCAGCTCTGAGACCCTGAGCTAACAGCTGAGATGTCGAGGATCAGAATTCTCGCTTTGGGGTACTTGGGTCTAGCTGTAGGCACCGAGGGGGAGGGGTGAGCCCCAGCCCCAGAGAAGGGCCTCAGACAGCCTTCCCAGATGGGCACATCCAGTCTCAGCACCCCATACCCCAAAGGACCAGGTGCAGCAGGAAGGGAGGGACTCACCTCGGAAGTTCTGGCTGAACCTCTTTCCACGGGAGGGGGCCCCGTGACTGCGCTTCAGCAGGGCCACGTACTGGGCCCTCACGTGGGCAGGGGTGACCAGCTCCTCCACGTCGCTCTTGTCCAGGACGGGCGCCTCGCCGAGATGCAGCTGCTGCAGCAGGCTGCCCAGGATCTGCTCCTCGGTCATGGCCACCCCAGGGCTGGTCAGGGGCAGTGCCCAGAGTGCCCAGCAGAGCCACAGGGACCTCATGGTGTACTTAGGAGGAGGAGGAGAGTAGTTGTGTCCCCTGAGGAGGGTCCAGGAGGGTCCCAGCTGGGTGTGCTGAGAGCCAGGCTGGGCCAGCTTTATAGCCAGCCCTGGGCTGGGCCTGGGTGGTGAGAGGGAGGGGGGGAGAGAGGTCACACCCCTTGCCCTCCTGGGAGCTCAGCAGCTAGACGGGGCCACGAGCCCTGAGGAGGGGGCTGTCTAGAGAGGGCACAAAGGCTGTCTGGACGCTACACGGGCTTGGGCTCTGGCCGCCGCTGTCTGGCAGCTCAGTAATAATTTTAGTGCCTGTTGAACTTCGCTGGCCCTACCCCAGTCCTCGCCCATGAAAAACCAAGCCCATTCTGTGAAAAACAGAGTCCTCCAAGACTGCCGTTTAGGTCTGTAAGGCCAGTCTGGGTCTAGGTGTGTTCACTGAGGAGGGAGGGAAAGTGGTCTCATTCCTGCCTGTTCTGGGCCAGACCCCATTCCGGGCATTTCACAGATGCCCCTAAGTCGTCTCCCTCCTGCAGTCCCGCAGGCCCCCTCCTCTCCTCTCCACAGTCCCCAGGGGACCTTTCCCCCTCCCTGTGGAAGAAGGAAGCTAGATGCTGTCTGGACAGGAATCGGGCTCGGCTCTTTGGAAGGGCCAGGGAGTGAGGTTTCTGCAGTGTCTGCTGTCACACTGCACAGAGGGACAGCTACCCCAGGTACGGTCCTTCTGGGGTGCGCTATGCGGTGAGCCTGGCCGCTGGTTCCCACCGCCACGCTCAGCTGGAGCCCATGGCACGCCCAGACAGGGGTCAAGGGACAGGAACCTGGAAAGCAGAGGCCAGAGCTGCCCGGAGCCATGTCCTGTCCAAAGCTGCAGGTACTGGGCACATTGGGGTGGGCGGAAGCCCCTGTGCCCCCTCAAACACACACTGTAGACTGGCTGGGTTCAAACATGCTGCTGGCTGGCTGTTTGACCTGCTAGCAAGTTCCTTGACCACTCAGTGCTTCAGCTTGCTCATCTCAAGGAGCAGTGATGGTAATCGGTCTAGCACACAGGGCTCCTATGAAGATGAATGAATTAACCCGAGTAAGCTGCTTAGCCCAGGGCCTGGCACAGTAAGCCCATATAAGGGCTTGCTGTCATTATCTGCACAGTCATTGCATTCTCCGGGTGTGGCTTGTCTAAACATGGCAACAACCAGAAGAGCCCACGGCCTGCCAGGGACTGTCCTAAGCCCTGGACGTGTATTCATAACAGTCCTAGGAGGCAGGTATCAGCCCCGCCCCCGGTCTTCCGTGGGATGCAGAGTCAGGGCACCACCTGGCCAAGGAACCTGCCTGCTCTCACTCAGCAGAGGAGGGCTGGGAGGTCATCTGTCCCCAGAGGGCCCTCCTGGCCCAGGGCATTTGAGGAGGTGCAGGAGGAAGTCCTTCCCCAAACCGGTGTTCTGCTATGTGGGAGGTGAGCGACGATAGTGAAGGAGGACAAGGACTGTGGGTGAGGGCCCAGGGGCCCAGTGGGCAGGGAGCACCCACTCTTCCCCTTCCCAGTGGGGCCTCCTCTGTAGGTGTGCTGTGACTGGCAGGTCTCTTGTGCCATCTCCCTGCCACTGTGCTCCTCACCCATCCCAGGCAAGGAAGAGAGAAACTTCTGGTGCTCGAGAGCGAGTTTCCCCTGGATGAGAGCCCAAGGACAGTGTGCACCGACTGCCACCATCTGCACACGTGCAGGACAGTGAGGGACTTTAGTAGTGGCGGGGGGGGGGGCTTAGAATTTGTGGAAAGGGAGGAAGATAACACTAATAATAGTCATAATGGCTCACAGTGCTTACGGGCTGGGGCTGAGTGTTTTATATACTTGAACTCTTTATCCTCACAACTTGTCACTATTGTTCCCATTTCACAGATGAAGCAACTGAGGCATAAAACCTTACCTGACTTGCCCAAGGTCATATAGCTAGGAAGTGCCAGAGATAGGGTGGGTCAAAGGGAAGGAAACGGGGATTCTGTTAAATATGAACACAGGACAACGTAAGAGGAAATACAGAAATTGTGACAGCTGAACCCAAGAGGGGACTCTCGGGGTGACAGAATCATGACCTCCACTGCTTCCCTGCTCCCCTTTCCTTTCCTCTCCCTCCTCTGTCTCCACGGAATCAGTGTAATTCGCAAGGAGGAATTCAAATCCCTTCACGGGGCTCATATCTCAAAGGGTTTGACCATTCCTGAAATATAAGGCGCCACCTCTGTGTTGGAACCAAACAGGCCCTCCCGCTCTCTCTGTGACAAGTGTAGCCTTCTTCAAAAGAATAGTGTTGCTTTTCTTTGCAAGTGATGATTAGCAGGGAAAGGACTTATTGATGCAAACATTTGGGCCTCAAGTCAGGCCAAAAGGTGCAGAAGTATCACATTTACAGGCGACTCCGGCCCTGTGGGCCTTAGTCCCTTGAAGCTGCCCTGGGCTGTTCCATAAATATGCAAAGTCCACCACCCTTGGCGCTGGGTGAGAGGAAGCCCTGTGGCTTATCACTGGCCAGGGTGGTGCCAAGGATATAACACCCAGGCTGCCCTTGCATGCCCTGGGCCCCTCGACAGTCCCCCAACATCTAGGCCCCTGGGAGCTCCGGGGCCTGAACCTTGAGGCCCTGAACTGGTTCCAGCAGGAACCTGCCATCAAAGGCTGAGGGAGGCCAGGCCCCTGGTGCTGACCCCTGACCGGCATATGCCCACGTGAGGCTCCCTCCCACCAAGGAGATGCTTCAGGGCTGAGAACCCATGGGCGTGCCCAGTGGTCGGGAGCCCCTTCTGCACCTGGGGTAACTGACCAGTTAAATTGAAACTTCATTTTCCAGAACACAGTCGAGTGGAAGGTCCCTCCTCTGTGGGATTCTGTGTCACCCCACCCCACAGATGTCTCAGGGTGCTCCTGAGCTGGCCTCCCAGCATGAGCCCCCCCAGAGGTGAGTCTTCAATGGGGACTGGAACAGCCCGGCCAACACCCAGCGTTGCCGACTGAGGACCAGACCTGCCTGCCGGTGGGCTTCTGGCCCCAGTGCTCAGGAGCTCCGAGGGGCTACTGAGGACCTGGGCAAGTGGTCCACCGCTGGGAAACTGAGACCCTTCTCCATCTTGGAGAGCCCCCTGAAGGGGGACAGCCTGGGAGCATTCGGCACCCCCAGGGGGTTTACCCAGCAAGGTGCTATATCCTCCTCCTTCTTCCTGCTACTTTGGAGAACTAGAGGAAAATGATTCTATAGCAGATACTGGAATAACGTTTCGTTCACTGTCATTTCATTATAACACTGATGAGGGAAAAAAATCACTTCTTGGACAGGGCCTGTGTAGAGTTTGCACGATCTCCCCACATCTGCGACCTCCCCACATCTGCCTGGGTTTTCTCCAGGGACTCCGGGTTCCTCCCACAGCCCAGAGATGTGCGCAGGAGGTTAGCCAGCGTGTCTGCATTATCCCAGGCTCAGCGACTGTGGGCGTGATTGGCCCTGCGGCGGGTGGGTCCCACCTGGCGCCCTGAACTGCCGGGAGAAGCTCAGGCTTCCTGAGACCCTGAATGGAACCAGTGGGGTTGGAAAATAATGATCTCATCTGTTTATATTCATCTTTTTTTTTTTTTTTAATTTTTTTCCTTTATTGATTTGAGAAAGAGAGGAAGAAAGAGGGAGAGAGAGAGAGAGAGAGAAACATCGATGAGAGAGAACATCAACTGGCCGCGTCCTGCATGCCCCCAACCTGGGCCTGGGCCCTGACCGGGAATCGAACTGGTGACCTCTTGGTGCATGGGTCGACCCTCAACCACTGAGCCACACCAGCCAGGCTATTCATCTTTCTTAAATGTACATATAGCTCACATTTATTTCAGTGTTCAATGTTAGAAGTGTTTGGGGTCTTTATTTAGAAGTTTGATGATGTTTCTGTGCCCAGAAATCTGCTGTAGGAGCTGAATTAGTTTCTATCAGTGAGCCGGTGGTGACACTGGTTTCCTCATACGTCGTTTCCCTTAAAGTCACCGTTTCTGAGAACCTATCCATGACTTTGGTTGAGGACTCACAGTACAAATGATTCTGACTGTACAGTCAGAGCTGAAATGAATGATCCACGCCCTTGCCTTGCCCCCAGTTCTAAGAGCTAAGAAAACCGAGGTGACGATGTCCCCAAGCTCACACAGTTGATGGATGCCTGATTCCCAGCCCAAAGTTCCTTCCACACCCTCAAGCTATTTCCAGTGCACAGACTCACTGACCCCCGGAAGCTGGCAGGAAGCAGCCATCAGCCCCAGGTGAGCTGGGGACCTAGTCACTCCAGGGTCGGGGCAGGGCCGGCAGGGGAGGCCTGGGAAGCAGACAGACAGGATAAACCTCCAGACTCCTGCTGCTTTCTGGACACAGGCTCCTGGTCCCGAATGTGGATTCCAGGCAGCCTGAAGTTTTGCTCGGGGGGAAATAAAATAATTGGGCAATTAGCCAGTGGCCAGAAGAAGGCCAGGAGTGTGGATTGGGAGACTTTTACGAGGGACTCAGTCGTCAGGAGGGCTGCTGCCCTTTGTCATGTAGAGGAGGGAACCCAGCCTCCTCTCTGAGTGTGGGTCTGGGTGGAGAGTCTGATGGGTCAGTGGTGGGGTCAGGATGGGCTTGAAAAGCAGAAAAACCATAAAACAGCTTTGTCTGACCTGGGGTGGGGAGACTACTTATACAGCTCTCTAATTCAGACCTCTCTCTTCCAAAGCTTTTTAAGGTGAACAAAGCCCATACTATTTACAAAGCTATATTGTTAGGGATTTTTAAACATTGTGAAGAACCCTTTTCCCAGAGATTATGTTGTGGATGCTCGAAGTGTAATTGTGCTGTAGGGGGACGCAAACACTTTCGCTCCCATGCATATCCATTAGGGCTGAGGACGCTTAGACAGTCTCCTCGCCCTGGCCGGCCAGTTTGGTTCAGAGGTTAGAGCCTTGGCCCTTGGACCAAAGGGTCACGGGTTCGATTCCCCGTCAAGGG